TACAACCCAGGTCATTACATAAATAACAATGTATTTAAATCTAAGCATCCACCATCAACAATAACTGGTTCATCTACAAAGTGGCGTATGAGAGCTGGAAGAAAATGATGTAAATAATAGTATGGAGATTGTGAGTTAAACACTTTAAATGAAGAGATTTATTTCTTTCTTATGGCTCCTTTTATGGTTTTGGGAAGGGTTTTCACAGTTGAGATATCATTTGCTAACGTTGCCATGAACCGATCTTCATTGTAGATGTAAGCAAAACTTTTAAACCGGACACTGCAAACAACATATAAAATTATAAAATTATAACGTTGGTGTTCATTACACTATTTACACATATACCATTTCAACCTATTTAATCAGTTTAAAAAAATAGAATGAAAACCTGATTACCTTGCTGCTGCTTGTAGTTGACTGTATCTCTGGAATCACAAGTGTTGAATGCGATGCTTTTGAATAACATCAATCACCGAGCTCATAATCTCATGAGACTGAAGATCATAGGCGAAATTAAAAGTTATTAGTTCACTGAAACCGATTGTACCTGAAATCCAACATAACTAAGCTATCAAATACAATATAACAAAGCAGATTGTTACAAGAATTTGAACAATTGAAACTAAAAACCCAAAAAACGAAATTAAATAGATGGAAAATAGGTATATGTTGAAGTAGCTAGAACCTGATTTGATGATGTAAGTGTGCGACAACAGGGGGAAGAAGGAATTGTGCTACGATCAGAAGGAGGCTAGATACGGAAGGAAGGAAGCTGCAACATGTGGCGTTTGTGTATGCGATAACAGGGGATCCAACTGGAATCAGCGATTGATTATATGTGGCGATTGGATGCAAGGATCGGAAACCTCAGGGAAGAGAAGGCTCGATCGTGGCTTTTAGAAGGTATGGGGAAAACGAATTTTGGCAGAATCGATCCATAAAGCTGTGAATCGTTTGTTGTATTGGAGATTAGGAGGAAGGGTATTATTGTCCATTCATAATGTATTTTATTTATAATGATTTAATATTATGAAAAAATATTATAAATCAATTAAAAATGTAAAAAAAAAATGGATTTGGGTATATATGATATTAAAAAACATTAGGAATGGCAAATACGATATTTAAAGTTTAATCCGGGCAAATATGATGTTTAGCTGTTTAGGAAGGGTGTATACGAAATTATGCCTATATATATATATATATATATATATATATATATATATATATATATATATATATATATACACACACACACACACACACACACACACACACACACACACACACAGAGGTTCAAATGTGAATTGACATCTATTGAGTCGTAATTTATACCGTCTATAAGGTTATTATATATTATTATTAACATTCTATCATAATGTTTATTGAGTCGTATTCTGTAAAAATGAAAATGAGTGAAAAATGATACGTGAGAACAAAAATGAATAAGAATTAGTGATAATGTATGAAAATGACAATAGTTGTATGAGGTTGAACGCATTCACATTATTAAACAACTTATTCTTTTACAAATTCTCAAAGAATAGCACTGCTCACACGTTTGCACAATAGTTATCCACCCTCATTATAACACACACACACACACATATGTATATATATATATATATATATATATATATATATATATATATACATATATATATATATATATATATATATATATATATATATATATATATATATATATATCGTTTCCGACGTATACCCAACGGGTAGCGGTTCCGAAAAAAAGAAGAACCAAAACCAGAAGGTGTTCCAAAACTTTAAGAATCGGACCTGAAACTTCTTAAGACGCTTTCGGTTCCATAACTAGGGTTTCCAGTTCCGAAAGCGAATACACATCCAACAAAAGTGAAACCATTATCCACTTATTAAAGATAAAACATATAACAACAAAGCTTATAAAAAAAGTACAAACGATTACAACATAATTAGAAATTGCAATCAAATGAAAAGAATCTTCCCAAAATCAGAATGCTGCATAAAGGCGCCGGGTCTCTGCCAACTTCTGTTTCATGTTTTTCTTGTTAAAATTCTTTTTCCCATGGTTCTCGTTTCTTCTGTAAATAAAAATTTTATACAAAAGTTTGAATTATACAGGTGAATCATTGAGCTAATTATTCTTTTGTCAAATTTTTGTTGACTATCTAAAGTGCATTTTTTTTATGCTATAAATATTTATTAAAATTTTGAATTTGTCTTTCATAATTTGTTTTTACACCATCATTTTTTATTTCGTTTGTATATATTTTGTTTTCATAATTCATTTTCTTTCCTTCGTTTTTATTACGATTCACTTTTATAATTTTATTTTCATGCTGAGCTTTTATGTGTTTTTTTTTCACAATCTTTTTTTACAACTTCACAACTTTATTTCATTCTTTATGTTTTTTTTTTTTTTTTTTTCAAAACAATTTTTTACAACTTCATTTTTATATGTTTTTCTGTAATATGTTTTCATAAATTCATTTTATTTTTACATGTTTTTTCATTGTTGATTTGATGATTGTATAAGGCACGACTATCACGGATGTTAATCGTAATTCACTTTTCAGTACTGTTCATCATAGTTTCTTGTTTTGATCTTATTTTTTTTGGTATGTTTTTTCGATCTCGTTAATATTTGATTCTCGTTGTTGTTTCGGCTTGCTCCTTATTTTTTTCTTTGTTTTTTTTTGTTGGTTTTGCTCTATGATTAGATTATCTCTTTTGCTTAATTATTGACATTATGGATCTAAAACATTATTTGCTTTAGTATATTAGTATCCAACATCATTTTTTTTCCTTCATTTTTATACGTCTTTGTTTATAATTTGCTTTTATAATTTTATTTTTATGCTGAGTTTTTCAATGTTTTTTTTTTTCACAATCTATTTTTACAACTTAAAACTTGATTTCATTCTTTATGTTTTTTTTTTCAAAACATTTTTTAAAACTTCATTTTTATATTGTTTTTCGCAATATGTTTTCATATATTCATAAACTCATTTAATTTTATATGTTTTTTCATATGTTGATTTGATGAGTGTATAAGGCACGACTATCGCAGATGTTTATCGTAATTCACTTTTCAGTGATGTTCATCATAGTTTCTGGTTTCGATCTTATTTTCTTAGGGATGTTTTTTTGATCTCGTTAATACTTGATTCTCGTTGTTGTTACGCCCTGTGCCTTTTTTTTTCTTTGTTTTTGTTGTTGGTTTTGTTCTACCATTAGATTATCTCTTTTGCTTAATTTTTGACTTCATGGATCTAAAACATTATTTGATTTAGTATATTAGTATCCAACTTCATGACTATCAAATAAACCATCAAAGGAGAAGCAACTTAATCATTCAAGAACATGCACCAAATTGAAAAACATGGAGATGGAGGGAGAACACTTTGTTCTCAGTTTTACTAGAGAAAAAGAAGAAAAAAGAAGTGAAAGAACTAACTACAAAGCAAGCATTTGTTAATCTTTTATTAATCATAAGTTAGTACATAAGGATCTTACTTATCAAAGAATGTAAGCATGTCCATGTAAGAAGGTATGGGGCATTCAAAAAATTCAAACACTCCAAATCCCCTATCTTCTTATGTATGAAGAAAAGAATGGCATAAAATGTGTTTTACACTCAAGCCATTAACTAGTAGATGAATATGAGCTAATTGAGTTACTCAAAGTGTCTAAAAAGTCATATACAACATACACAATCATACCTTATGAATATAACTAGTTTTTATTCTCTTTTGTTATTATTTTCGAGAAACAATAAAACCCAAAATGTTGATAAAATATTATTTTTATAAAATAATATGTTTCCAGTTAAATACAAGTGTTGATTATAATTATTAATAATCAAATTATACTAATACATAATTAATTTGTAGTAACTTGTTATATGGTGTGACCTTATAAGATCTTATGTCATTAGAAATATCATTTTATAATGACTCTTGGGCATAAAGATCTTTTAATCTTCCACTTGCACATGACCCATCATACACTACTAGAAAATAGACCTTTAATGACGCGCTTTTTACGACACGCGCTGATTAATGATACGCAAAAGGACGTGCCCTTAAAATAGTGTCATCTCTCCAAAAAATTTAAGGATTTACGTCACGCATTATTGCGTGCCCTTAATTTAGTGTCTCAAGAAAAAAAATTAAAAACACGGAGGGCGCTTTATCTTAAACGCGCGTCATCTGTACCTGTCGCTTTATAATTTTAATGAAACGCGCTTTTAGTTAATGAAGGGGGAAACGAAATCCCCAAAATTTTGAAAACCCGCCTTGTTTTTTCTTCTTCTATCTACTTTTCATCCTTGCAATCCACTCTCCCCTCTCTGATACTCTCTCTTCTAGATCTCCCTTCATTCTCTACCTCCCGTCTCTCTGTAAACCTCGAAGGTGAATCGTAATTGAACTGCGAGGTCTCCTTCTTTTTCTTTGTTTTCTCAGGTAGGACATCATCCCAATCCATTAACCCCTTTTTTTCATTAAAAAAACCCTAATTGACTTGGCAAGTTCATGAACCAGATGTAGCACATTCCAAACTGGGGATTTAACCAAACCCGATAGAGCCATTGACGGAATCTTCGGATTTAGTCAACAAGGACTCTCTGTAATCGCACAACTTTCTTCACAAGGGATCACTCCAGGTCTTCAATCTATCAATCTACAATGGCCATTGTCTAGGTTTATTTCATCTTTTAAGGTTTCCATGTAAACCTTGGACCTCGTTTGCAGGTTTCGTTCTTTGATCAAGTTGTTGTTGTTCGGGAAGGAATAACGAGTTCATCCTCTCCACCAGCCGACAACTTTCACTGTCTCCTTCTCCTTTTCTCTGTAAACCCTAATCCACCTCCACCACTACTGAATCCCTTTTGTTTATCTTAAAGAATAACGCAACGAAGCTCATATCTCATATCAAGTACTCTGGCGTGGAGTTAATAATTGTTCCTTCACCCAGCTTGGATATGGATTCAGGATATGGCATCACACCCCTGCGACCTGGTTACTCTCGAGCCTAATAGGGTCGTTGAAACCCTCAAGAATCTCACCACAAAGTTTTGTGACTACAGAGTGCTTGATGTCGTGAACTTGTTACCCACTGCCAATGATGGAACCATCACGCATTTATATATGCAGGTGAGTAATCAAATCTTAGTATAGTCATCAGTAAACACTTTGTTTTTATGAATTACGCTGTTTGTAAATCTTTTGAATCTTCTAAACACAGTTGATATTTTATTTTTCTACGCTCCTACAACTCAGGCTACTGCTTGTTATTTCTGGTTGCTTTGTTACTACATAAGACAACAACCTAGTAATCTTTGAATAATTAATCACTGCCTGTTTAGGGATACTTTGTGGTGAACACCAACTGTTTGATAAAATGCCCCAATGAGTGACTCTTGCGTTTTCATGCTATATTATATATTTTGAGCAAGGAACTACACATGTTTTTATTAAATTTGAAGTGTAATGTACAATAGCAATAACATTGAGGTAGATTACATGTATTGTTCTTTTATGTGTTATTGTGTTTTGAAGTAGTTCTTGCACATCTTGAGCAGGTAGAATTTGCACATTCGTTTCTTTTGGTAAAATCATAAATGTATTTTTCTTTTCTTCTTCCCTAATTGATGTTTGATCTGCTGCATTTCAGCTGCTGAACTTGTTAGATGTGATCGTTGACAATGCGGAAAGCAAGCAAGCTCCTGCTCCTGAAGAATAACTTGCTCAGATGTCCACACTAAATGCTGATGATGTTGGTGGCTTAGGCTCAAATACCAAATCACCCAAAGCTGATCATGCCTCTAAGCCCTCATCTTCCGGTGCTAATACAGAATATGACTCCCACATTATACTGCTAAACTAACCACAAGCAGAACTATGTCTTCTATGCTCAATGCTTGCACGTGAATGGTATGTGATCACCACTTCACTTCACTTTTCTCATTATATGTTAAATCATATGGGAACATGTTGTGTTAAACTATAAACTTTGTTGTTTTAGTTTGTCGGATAATGCATATGCTCTTGTGGCGGAGGTATTGAAGAAGCTGGTGACAATCGCTCTTGTGTATTACAGGGGAATGTTTTAGACACAACCAAGTTGCTTATATTTCCTCTTCCACTCGTGGCTGCTGCTCATCAACAACTCCTAGCAGGTATGCTCTACATCAATAACATTTTATGAATGCTAAAATCCAATGAATAATCAGTGATTCTTGTTTGTGTTCATATTGAACAGGCTGTAGACATCCAGATGCAAATGATCTTGATGGTTTAAAGGTTCAGATTATACTCTGTTTCAACTAGGTTTAGTTTCAAAATATTTTCTTGCATATTTTGAAAATTGCTAATATTTAATTTCTCTTTTTTGGGCATGATAGTAGATGAAACATAGCTACCTATCAAGGGCCATCATACATGGGAATCATATGGTAAGTTTTATTAAAATATATTAATCTCAAACCTATAAATGCTTTTCCCATATCTTTGTTGAAATGAATTTATCTCATAGTTAGTAAAACCCCCCATTTGCATTTTTTAGTAAAATACTCACTGATTATTTCAAAACTCCTTTCTTTCCTTGAAGCAAATGCATTTATTTATTAATTTATTTATGGTTAATAAAATTGCAGACACACAAGAGAGTGTTGATTAATGCGTTCACTGTGCGTGATACATTTCCTCTTGCTAGATGAGCAGGTCAATTTACTTTGGTTTTATATTTTCCCCCAATGAAATTACTTAATTAATTATCAATCTTTCTTTCTATATATAAATATTTTTTCTAAAATACAAATACTCATTCTGGGGGTGGCAGGTATAATGGCTCTGTGTGCCACCAGCTCGTATTATGAACCCCAAGAGATTGCAGCTCGTATACTGCCAAATGTTGTTGTTCTCACAATTGATCCTCACAGGTTATCTTATTTTCCTTTAGTTGTATTAGCTAGTGTTTAATTTTACAGATTAAAATTAAATTTTTTTGATTTTCTACAGTGATGTCCGGTCAAAGGCTTTCCAAGCAGTTGAACAGTTTTTGCAGATAGTTAAGCAATACCATGAAAAGGTTGTTGTTTCATTTTCTTTTTGGAATCCCTAGCTATATTATATTATATATCATTGGTTATTATTAAACAACGTGTTTAATACTATGTTTTTGTAGACATCTGGTGGGGATAGCAGTGAGTGTATGGGGTCCACAATTTCATCACTTCCAGGGAACGCAAGTATACTTGGGTATGTAATCTATTTATTTTGCTTCGTGCTGGCTTTAAAAAGTAAGACTGAAACCCAACCAACAATACATGCAATTGTAATTTATAATTTTATAATACAGATGGGCAATGAACTCTTTGACAACAAAAGGCAAACCCTTTGAACAAATCACACAAGCAATGCCTCCAAAATCCACGTCACCTCTTGTTTCTGTTGTCCCCACTACATGTAAACATTGTTGTAACAAACACTTACACTAGACACAAACATAATTTTAATTTTTTTATGGTAAAATAATTACTGGATTTGTATCATCTAAGTAGTAGTATCAAGTATACATACCCAAAGTACAACAACACTAGTCCGAGGTGGAAGTTTAGATTATGGTGGTGACATGGCAGATCAACCAGCACCGGTGTCACCTACCTCGACTAACGACTGGGGGGAGCTCGAGAACAGTATCGATATTCATGAAGATGAAGAGATTGAAAAAGACGGGTGGGACGATATGTTGCCACTAGAAGACGAAAAGCTGCCACCTGCTCTTGCAAACATCGAAGCAGCTCAAAAACGGCTTGTCGTACACACAAAACCACAAGGTATTATTTATTTATTCATTTTCTAACTTTTATGATATGTTTATTTATTTGTTAATTTTATAGAATCGTATTTGTTTTTTCTTTCCAGGATCAATTCCTCGGCCGAAATCTACGTCACATGTGAGCAAAGATGCATATGATGATTTATGGGGCTCAATAACTGCCCCTGACCCAGCTCCTGCCCCAAAATTGGCTTCAAGGTCTTCAAATTTGAATGTGAAAGCAGCAGCAGCAGGAGGGAGTGGGAGTGGGTGTGTTGTTGATGAGGATGATCCATGGGCTGCTATTGCAGCACCAGCACCAGCAAAAGGGTATTCTTACAAGACTTCTCTGATTGTAGGTGTTGCTGATGCTATCCAAAAAGAAAGTCTACACTTCTGTGTAAGTAACTATTTTATTCTGTTCTTGTTCCATTGTCTAGTGATCACCAGGAAATACATGTAGCTACAATGAGCTATATTGAAGGTTCAACACAAAAAATATGGGTACCTGCAATGAGCTGTATTGGATCTAGTTAGCTAATATTTGAGTCGCCTTATAACATTTTATATTACCTTTTCTACTGGGAGAAGTGCAATATGGAGTCATTTTCTTGGAGAAGTGCAATATGGAGTCATTAATTAATGTCTCTTTTTGTGAAGTTATGTTTTATGGTTGTCACTTGATGTCTATTTAAGTTATTACATATCATATACATCATGACCAAACCAACATATTGTCCAAAGTACCCTGTATGTAAACTTTTTTTTTTTTTTTTTCTGTTTTACCAATAAATTCTTTGTTTATTTGTAATAGTGTTAGCACATGAATTAAAGTGTTTTTATGGAAATTATCTTAAGGTGCATACATATATGTTTCCTGGAAATTTTTTTTGATAGAGAGGTTAAAGAGCCATGATAGAGAGGTTAAAGATAAAGAAAGAGAAAGACAAAGAAAAAGAAAAAGAAAAAGAAAGGGAAATTAGAGAACATGATCGTGATCGTGAAAGCAGGTATTTTTTTATGTTCTTGTTCTCTCTTTACTTTCTGCTTATATTTATAATATGTGCTTTATGCTTTGTGGCAAGTATCTCTCTTTACTTTGACATGAATAATTATTAATACACCAATAACTTGTTTAAACAAACAGAAGAGTGTATGACAATAGAGGCAGCGTGAAATGTTCAAATACGAGTAATGGCCCACCATATTCCGGGTAACAGTTTTTTTCCCTGGGCCAATAGAGACATCAAATGCACCTGCTACAAGCACAACATCCAAGGAGGTTAGTTTCATATCATGTTCCCTGCTGCTAAAATAATGCCTGATATTTGTTATAAAGGGAAAAACTCCAACAAACTATGCCCATTGTTTCATATTAGGTCCTTATGGGTTGGCAATAGCAGGTTTACAGGTTAAGTCAACTTTAAAATGTTGACTTTTCTATAGCCACAAAAATACTTGTTCAAGGACCTAATGTGGACACAAAAAAGTTCCTGACTAATCTGGGACAATAGGTATAGTTTTTTGGAGTTTTTACGACTTTACCCCTGTTATAAATTCAATGGCATGTTGATTATTTTGTATCGTAGATAGATAAAATCTGATGAATACTAGGATATTTGTGTCTAGGATTGAACTGCACATGCACTCTTCTGGTAGAATTTACTAGAATTATATGTACAATATATAACAGTCTCCCATTTGGTAATGAATTGTTGCTTCCAAAAAAAAAAAAAACAAAAACTATCATAACATGTCAAAATCAATTGCTAAAGCAACCATGTGTAAGTTTTACTTGCAAACACAGTTTATTATACCACAAGAGTAAGCTTCAAATTGATCATAAAGTTGAGTAATATATAGTAGTCTCCTATTTGACTTTTTTTAGATTCTTTATGATTTGTATTTAGTTTAATCTTCTATCCAAACCAAATTATCCTTGAAAGGAGTTATTAATGATCATCATTTTTGGCGCATCTTGTGAAATTGTTCATAGTTGGCCTGTTAATGTTCCTGTTTGTTTTCATTTATGCAGGTAACAATCTTGTTGAAAGGACTTATGAATCAAATGCTAATGGCAACAAGTTTAACACTCGACTCCATACGATTAGATGTTAATGGTAATGTACAAGTTTAACACATGTGTCTTTGTTATACATACAGATTAAATGCAATGGATTGTACGTATTTTTTGTATATGATATTTTATTTTATATTATGCAATGGATTGTATTTTGTGTATATGGTATTTTATTTCTATTATGAGAGATTAAATGCAAATTTAATTTATACATTAATAAATATATAAATATATTTTTTTAAAAAAATTAAAGTTACGATACGCAAAAATGTGTGTCGTCTTCATTTATGACATGGCCTTTCTTGACTGGGGCTTCCTTGATACGCATTGCATGTCATAAACACGCGCGTCGTAAGGTTACGACACGCAAATGTGTGTCGTCTTCCTTTATGACAGGTCCTTCCTTGATACGCATTGTGTGTCATAACCGCGCGTCGTAAATGCGCGTCATAAATGTGCGTCGTAAATGCGCGTCGTCTCTCTTTATGACAGGGCCTTCCTTGACGCGCATTTGCACGTCGTCTGAGCGTTTTACGACGCGCAATGAGCGTCGTAAAAGGCCTTTTTTCTAGTAGTGATAGATTGATATAGACAGTGGTAAACATCTAGCAACATTTCTGTATCACCTCAAATTTTAGACCATTTTTTTCATTTTTAATTACCAAAATCAGAGTTTCACAACCAAGTTATCAATTACATAATTATCCCAAAACAACCAATATCATAATTATCATAGTTCATAAAGATGCCCTAGTAGTAAATCTCCCAGCGTGTATGTACAATCATACATTCGCCTTCCCACGGTCCTGTGAAGTATTTGCCACTTAAAAATCAACAACTGTAAGAATGAAGCTTAGTGAGTTCCCCAAGATACCACGTACAACACAACATAAATAAACATTGACGGGTTATCAGCAACACTAGGGACCATCAGCAGTCCTAATGAGCTAACAATATGCCCTGTGGGTTATCACCAACCCTGGTTGGCTATCAGTAGTCCCAGTCACATATAAATAGCATAACATAACCATAACAACTAGACCCAGCTGTTCATCATAAATATAACTATTCTACTACAAATGTAAGAATAAGTGAGGAGACTCACCTGATACTGACGTCACGAAAACCTAGCACCCGAACTGCCAGATCTAGATTCTTCCTAGTCAACAAAATGATTAAACCTAATTATCAATTAAGGTCCAAAAACCCACTCACGAAAAAGGACCATATTGCCCCTCTCATGGTCCAAAAACCCTAAATCTTGACCAAGGGTCAAAGTCAATAAATTTCAAGAAAAGTCAACGCTCAGTGAGTACCCTAAGTGTACGACAACCTACACAGGGCGTACAACTCGAACAACGAAATGATGGGGCTAGGATTGGCTACGTCCTGCGTAGCTAGTAGTATGCCCATCATACTCCGACTGTTCCCATTTCTACCAGCTTGTGTCTAAAACCCTTAAGACAATTACCCCAAACACAGATCTAGCCATTCTAAGATATCTAAAACCATAAAATTATCAACTTTAAGCCTTTGCATGGCTAGAAAAGTTCCAAGAAAAATTCATAAACTCCGAACACATTCTAAGTTATTTTGCTCATGCATGAACCAAAGGGAGTGATCAAGCTGCCATTTTTATGCATCCAAAAGTCCCATAATACGTGAAAGGACAACTACAAACCCCTGGAGTTCCCCAAACTCATAAAGGTCCAATCTTTGTGGACAAAACTCTTAAAACTTCAAACATGGAGATTTAATGAAAGACTTGATAAGTCACAAACTTTATACCTGAAAATGATGAACAATGAGGGAAGTTTTCTGGATCTACAAACTTGTTAACACCCACTCCTTCTTCACTAGTTTCCTTCTTCAACTAAATGCACCAAAATCACCAAATTGAACTTGCAAGGCTCACACAAACACTCAAACTCAGGATTAGCGTTTAGGGAAGGTTTGGAGGCTGATGAGGGTGACCAAAAGAGGACTTAATATTCTTTATATAGCGAGCAACTCATGAAATTAGGGTTTTAGAGTTTGTGCTACTACACCTAGCGACACATACGCCCAGTGTACTAGCTGTCCACCCGTGATCCTTACACTGCATGGGTACACTGCGCGTACCCTTATGTACACCCAACATACAACCGAAATAGCGAAACATTTCTCTAAGGGACCAAAAGTGCCATTATGATAAAAATACAAGGAAAAATAAAATACCTGAAAATCAGGATGTTACAATTCTACCCCACCGTAATCAGACTTCACCCTTGAAGTCATCATCAGGAAACAACTCTGAATATTACTCACACATCTCGTACTCAGGTTCCCACGTCCACTCCGAACCTCTCCGGTGTTGCCACTAAACTTTGACCAAGTTCACAACCTTGTTCCTCAAGGTTTTCACTTTCTGATCTAAAATGTATATAAGATTCTCCACACAATTCAAGCGATCATTAACCTGAATGTCCTCCAAAGGGACCACAGTTGTCTCATCGGTCATACACTTCTCAGCTGGGAAACATGGAAGGTATCATGAATCTGTCTCAGCTCCTCCGATAGCTCCAACCTGTACGCTACCTTTCCCGCACGGGCCAAAACTAAAAAGGACCAATGAACCTAGGCCCAGCTTGCTCTACTTCATAAAGTGAATAACACTCTTCCATGGTAATACCTTCAAGAGCACTAGATCTCCCACCTAAAACTCCAACTCAGAGCGTCACCGATCTACGGTGGCTCTATGTTGTCAACAATCTCTGTAGAACCTGTTGTATAAGCTCAATCATCTTGAGCACTACATCCATGCTCCCCATTACCCTCTGGCCTACCTCACCCTAACAGATATGAGTCTGACATCTCTGACCATAAATGAGCTCGAATGGGGGCATACTGATACTGGCATGATGGTTGTTGTTATAACAACACTCAACCAACGAAAGATATGAGACCCAACTCCCACCAAAATCAATAACACGGTAATGCAGCATATCCTCAAACGTCTGAATCGTCCGCACATTCTACCCATCCGTATGCGGATGGTATGCGGTACTAAAGTGTATTCGGGTACCTAACTCCTCATGAAATCTTTTTCAGAACTTAGAAGTAAAGAGCATATCCTAGACAACTTCTCTGCAGAAGATTTCTTATTAATGGCTAAGAAGTGAGAACTCTCCGTCAAAAGATCCACTATCACCCAGATAGTCTCAACACCCCTAGTAGTCCTTGATAGCTTTGTAATGAAATCCATAGTAATATGCTCCTACTTCCAAAGAGGAACCTCTAAATGCTGCAACTTGTCATGAGGGTGCTGGTGCTCTGTATTAACCTTCCGGTAGGTCAAACATCACTCCACAAACCATGCCACATCTCTCTTCATACATGACCACTAATAATGTCACACCCCTAAACCGGAATGGCGGAAACGTTCGGGGGCGGAGGACGTCATGTTTAGTATCACAAAACATGCATCATGGTAATAAAAGTAACAAACAACCATTGTATTAATATTAACGTGTTTACAAAGTATGAGATTCACAAAAGATTGAGTCCAAAAGTAAATAACAAAACAAGACATGAAGCTATTATAATTCATCTTCTGAATCCCAGAGCGCGTACTTGTCTACTAGTTTCCTGAGAATACATGTTATTTTGAAAGAGTAAATCATCATTTAAGTTGGTGAGTTCATAAGTATTTAAGTGATAAAAAGTAAGTTGTACGTTCTTTTTAGAAAAGTTCGCCTATTCCTCCAGAAAATCCTATATTTTCTGATGTGATGAATGATAAGTAAAATGACTCTACAATTCTTTCTATGAGTACTAACTGGATACAAGTTATATATAATTTAGAGTAAACAGACAATCGATTGTGTGAATTCGCCCTAAGCCCACAACCAAACAAGGAACAGGGAATGAGGCGGAAGTCACACATCCCATTGTTTGTTAGATCATCACTGTTATATAACTTTGGCATATTCATTTGGTACTCACGGAGTTAATTGTAATAGTTCTTTATATTTGAAGAAAACATTCTTTAAGAAAATCATATATTTCCTTTAGTAAAATGGTAACCACAATAGTTCCTTCTATAATCACTTTGTTTATACTAGCTATATATAATCTAATAATGAACGGACAATTAAATGGGTGAATCTGCCCTAAGCCCACAACCAAACAAGGAACGGGAAGTAAGGCGGAAAGCACACATCCAACTGCCTATCGGATATTAGTTATATAAAACCCTGATGTATGAACTAAGGTTTATGGGCCCCCTTCTAACTATATGTACTAAGACTCGACTGTTTTGCTTATCTTTTGTGTTAATGTAAGTTTTCCCAAGTTTAAGATTATATTTACTAAAAATATAGTTTGAATTACCTTTTAAGTGAGAATATCACTATAAGAATGTAATGAGAAAAATGAAAGTGTGCAGTAATATTTGTATAAAGTAACTACTGAAGCACTAACTACCTTAAACCCAATTAGTTAAATTAAGGTAAAATGTGATAAGGTTGTAACCATGCTGATTCACTACTATAAACACGATGATCATCCGGCATCGAAACGATGTGACATTTTCTCACCCTTTAGCCTTTTCGGCTGGGACTATAGCTAACAGTCGGGGTGTGGGAGTGTCTGTCCTGTATAGATCTATACACATGATGCTCGCTCTCCTTCCAGGAGACTCTGGTTACAAAACCTGATACAACAAGTGTATTGTTGTGCTATGAAGTAGTATCTCCCATTATTGTTATATTGTTCTAGTTAAAATGTATAAGTTCCTTTTATAAATGTATATGTTCCTTTTTGTTCTTTTTATAGTATATTCTAAACCCCTAAACTATACCCTTTATAGTTTACTAATATGTTTGTTCTGAACTGTCCCTGATTTGTAGAAAATACTTTATTATCTACTGAGTTATGCAAGTACTTTGAAAATAGAGTTTTTACAAACAATAAACTAACATTTTTTATAAAAGAGTTGTTGAATTGATTTAATCACTTACAAAAGCATAAGAAATCTCTTTAATGTGATGACTATCACATGTAATATTAACACAATT